TGCCCTTCAGTCCTTTTCAAACAAACATTCCACACACATTAATATTTTAGTTATTGTTCATCTTCCCATTTAGAACATAAGCTTCATGAGGGCAAGGTTCTTTATTTGTTTTGTTTACTACTGTATCTTTAGCACCTTTAATAGATACTCAAAACCGACATGCAATGAGTACCCATGGGCATTCATAATTCCACATTTCTGTGATTATGTCCTTAGGATAGACTCCTGCAACTTTGCTGGCTAAAAGTGAAATGCACATAGAAGTGGAAATACTTTAGAAATCCTTGGAATAGAGAAGTGAGACTTAAATCGCCTATATAAATCAGTCAGAGCTATAGTATTAATTGTGCCTTTCATTATCCAGGAGACTGGATACATATTACCTTCCATTTGCTGAAAATAAGAACCGAGAGAGATATTGATTTTGGTCTTTGATTTTTATACATTTTTCTAAATAGGAATATGATATGCTTTTGAGTCTATGCAATTACATGCTTTGTTAATCTTTGAATGGAGGGAGAAGAATATGCAGTAAACAACATGGCAGAGAGGGAAAGCAATAATCATGTTTATTATCTAGAGTAGTAAAAAATGGTACCAAATTACTGAAATGATTTCTCATTTGCCTTTAAAATATGTCTATTTTTTGAGGAGGATCTCTTAATCTCTAAGAATTAAAGCATGAGAAATGGACTGTGTTATCTCAGCAAACCTACCTGAGATTTGAAATCAAGTATTTGTAGCAGAGCATAAATTGACTGATTTTCCTTGACTGGCCCCTTCCAATATGCTTTAAAAACTCTGGGTATGTGAGAATTAATAATGATCTTTTCCAGAGGTGGGAGCACCCCTGCTTCTGATGTACTTTTAAATTTTTATTTATTTTAGAGAGGAAGGGAGAAGGAGAGAGGAGCAAGAAACATCAATGATGAGAGAGAATCATTGATCAGCTGCCTCCTGCACACCCCACACTGGGGATCAAGCCCGTAACCCAGGCATGTGTCCTGACTGGGAATTGAACTGGACCTCCTGGTTCATAGGTTGACGCTCAAGCACTGAGCCATGTCACCTGGGCCCGATGTACTTTTTGTTATAGTTATGCTTGGCCATGAGCTAGGGAATGCTGGAAATAACCCTTCTAAAATAAGCCTGGTGCCCTAGCACCAATGTAGCAGCCCTCTCCTGCTTCCCCCTGAGGCCCCAACGGAGACCATGGGGTTGGCCTGTCACCTGTGCACGTCCTAGAAGGTTGGGGACAGCTGACAGAGAATGTTACCGTCTCCCTTGCCGTTACTAGATCTAAGATGCCACGAAGATTTTCCTACATCTCTGCAGAGTGTGGATGCCCCAGAATTGCTTCCATTTTCTCCTTCCTTTACAGGGTTTGCATGGCAATAATGTGCTCTGGGTCTGGGGAACTATTGTGATGAAAGTGATGATTTCCCATAAAGAACTTAAGTTCTGGACTTTGTTTGATGACTTATTTGTTATTTGCCTGATAGAAAGTGTGTAAAGGAAAACGAGGAGAATAAGAATCAAATGTCGAAGAATTGCAAGGAACATGAGGAATTTCTAGCTCGTCTTTGGGACTGCTTAGATCCAGATAAGAAGAATGAAAAGATACCAGATGAAGATTTAATTCTAAAGGTGTTTGTATGCATATGAAAAAGACATTTAGGGGTCATTTTGACATGTGCCATGAAAAGAAAAGCTGTGGCTGAGTCTGGGGGTGACGAGAGAATGGGACACGGCCCAAATGTAGCATGCATTGAGTGTGTGACCTGGGGCAAACCATGTCACCTCTCTGAGCCTCAGTTCCAAGATCCTTGCTAGCATTTTTGGAGATTAATTATTCTCCAGAAAGGATTGATTGTGTTTGTCTAAAATATATTTAGATTGTCAAATACAAAGAGTTATTCATTTTAATGGTGTGTCTTAAGAAAATTTTGTTTGTTTGTTTTGAGTTAAGACAGAAACACACACCAACAGCAAAAACAGTGTGTGTCATTTTTGGGATATTTCTCGAGTATAAGGTTAAGATGAGTTCCATCTTGGTAAATCTTGCAATCTTACTGATGCTCCCAGTTAATGCAAATGTACAACATAGAGAATGCAATGCCCCGCTAATCCCAGTGATTGCCACAGTTGGAGCACGCAGTTCAGAACTTTGCTATGCTTGCATCAATTTGAAGGACTTGTTTTTAAAAGTCCTGCTTTCTCTCTGCATCCCTCTCCTGTGCCAGGCAGCGCCTTGCATGCCGCTGGTGCCCCTTTTTCCAGCACACCCGTGGCCCTGGCTGCTGTAACCTTGTAGATCATCACCTTCCCCCAGTTACTTAGACGTCAGGGTGCTTGTCCTGTCCGGAGCTTTTAGCTGAGCTCTCATCACTGTTACCCTGGGCCTACCGTTTGATTAATTTTAATTTGACCTCTGGGCCCGCCCATGAGGTAGAGGCAGCCTTTGCACTGTGACCTTTGAGTGGATGGAGGGGAGAGCTTCCACAATCGGCATATGATAGTGCAGTCACCGGGGGATAGGGACCGAGTGGCTTGGAGAAGGTTGTGCGAACTTGTTATTCCCGTGGGACAGCTGCGATTGCTTTCTCTTCAGCTCAGGGAGCTGGGCACGGAAAATACGTCTCTGAGAGGACAGCTTGTGACTCTTGAGGAGACCGTGAGTGTCCATGAGATGGAGGCCAAAGCCAGCCGGGAGACGATCGTGAGGCTGGTTTCCCAAGTGAACAGAGAGCAGAAGAGAGCCGCCTCCTGCGCCGAGGAGAGAGACGGGCTGCGCCAGGTACAGCAGGGAGCGCCTGTGCGCCTGTGGGATGCTCTGGTGTGGGAGCAGAAATTGGAAACTGGATGCCGGTGAGCGCACCTGCTGTCCAGGCCAGGCTCTGGGGCTGGGTGAGCCGGAGCCGGGCGGCATGGGACTCGGGCCCTGAGGGGCCATGTGAGGCGTAGCTAGAAAACCAGGACAAAAAGAAATATGAAACACTCAAAGGGACAGGGTTTGTGGAGAATGTCTGACTTGAAGCATAAGGATTACATTTGGTAAAATTTATGTTTTTGAACAAGATATACAATTCTAAAGGGACACAATAGTATATGGTGAAATTTCACCATATACTGTTACCCACTGCCTCCAGCCACCCGGTTGTCCTCAGAGGCAACCTCTATTAATAGCTTCTTAGACATAAGACACTGGGGAATAGGGGAGGCTAGCAGCTTCTTGTATACCTTTCTAGAACCATTCCACGACCATATATGCATATGCTTACTCTTTTTATTCATTTTTAACAAGGACAGCATATTCTATACACTACGTTTTCCTCTTTATTTAAAAATGGTAATACACTACATGCTATCATAAACAAGAGCGCTATCAATAATCTTGTATCTTGTGTGCGAGAATATATCAGTAAGACAGAATCCTAGAAGCAGACTTGCAGGGTCAAAGAATATGGGTATCATAATTTTGAGACATGTTGCCAAAGGAAACGGGCTCTTA